TTTCACAATGTTTACTTCTGATTGTTGTGCCTGAAACACTTTTAATTGTATTTGCCAGTAAAGATTTTTTTAATTCTTCAGTATAGAGAATAAAATATTTAAATGCCATTCTAACAATACTACACTATATACTATTTGCAAATTCAAATAACAAAAGGTTTTTCAACACAGCCCAGCACCAACACTTAATAGATTTTCAATATATATACAGAACCGTTCATGCATGACTATGTAGAGCATATTAAAAAAATACACGGACACTCTATTAAACCTAAAAAGTAAAAGTATCTTATACCATCTCACTCCTAGGAAACAGTGTGTTTAAAGTGATATTATGTCAGCACTGTCTGCTCAGAATTTACTTGAGGACAGGAAAACAGCATCCCTGAGAGTTAGTAATATAACTGTTAGTAACAGCAAACATTTTATCCTTCCTATTGTATCAGACTGTAGCTAGTACAAACACAAACTAGAAAGAGAAGTTAAAGAGAGAGAAAGTTTAAATCCAGAAAAGATCTACAAAGAGAAGTTAAAATCTTGTAACTGAAAGTTCAAATTTGTTTCATTCAGAGAAGTCCTGCTGAGTTGCAGGCTCAAAAAATTTATGAGTTTCCAGGCAGCTGAACTGAGAAATAGTCCTAAGAAAGCAGAGAATTCTCTCTGATTAGGATTGCAAACCATTAGATTTTTTTTTTATGAGAAAGAAAAACTTAAGCCATTGCATTAAAAACTTCAGTAAATAGACAACGGTGTCAAGGCTGCAGAATTTCAGTCTTTCTTCCCTAAGACTGAACCCAATTCCCTATAAAACAGAATCCAACAATAGTGCCTTCTGAAGGCATAAAGTCCTTCCCAAGACTTTACTACCAGCAGTCCTCAGGTGGCTTTTTTTTTTCTGGACATATGATAAGGAGAAGGGAGGTCTCGGTCTGTTCTTGATGATGGAAGAAAAAGGACTGATGTTTAGAAAGAGGCATCTTTATGCACTGGTTTAACACAATGGCTTTTAGTGGGGATGGGGGAAGCCACAGAAGCAGCTTCTGAGACAAGCTCCATGAAGTTTCTACTATGCCCAGAAGAGCCAATCCCTGAAGGCTCTAATGACAGACATGCTGTTGACCCAATTAGAGAAGTTGGTAACGCCTCTGCAATGATATATTTAAGAAGGAAAAACATGCGCTCATTCCTTCCTCTTCTTCCCAGGGGTGAGGAGGCACTGGGGCCATCCCGGTGCCGTGAGTGGCTGCTGGGATGATGAGCAGCACGCCATCTCAGCACAGCTCACAGTGAACGTTGCCTGCTTAGCTGCTTTTAGCCAGCCGTGCTGCAGGCAGAAGGGCAGAGGTGGCAGCAGCGGCTTCTCCTTTTTGGCACCCCACATGAAGAGAGGTGCGGAATGGTGCCAGCACCATGGCAGCCGGCACAGCCCATGCGCTGCCAGCGGGGCACACGTGGCCGACAGTGAGGGGCATCATGAGCAATTCCCCGGCACAGAGCCCAGACGAGATCAACCTTTCAGCGCTGCAAAACCCTATGAGAACTTTTCAATTGGCAGAACATGAGAACAAATGCATCTACAGGCAACAATTTTTTCCTGAGTCAGAGAAAAGGAGAAGGTGAGGACACATGAGGAGACCAGCATGGTGACACTATGCTTGCAGTGAAAGGAGGGAGGGAGAGGAGGTGCTCCAAACGTTGGATCTGAGATTCTTCTACAAGTGTGGTGAGGACTATAATACAACAAACTGTTTCCTGGTAATTCACAAAGTGCATGGGGGGATCCAGAGATCCATTCGCAGGCTGTGAGAAAAGGTGCTCACACTGGAGCAGGTGCATGCTGAAAAGCTGTAGTCTAGTAGGAAACCCAAACAGAGAGAGCAGACCCTTGCTTCCAGAGATAGAGGAACCTTGCTTCCAAACTAGAGCAGCTTATCCTTAAAAGACTTACATATACCTCATGAATGAATATGACCCATACCATGTAGCTAGGAAAAACTATTTTGCCTGGGAGAGGGACTCATGTTACAGCAGGTTGGGCGGGACCGCTACTTGTGAAAATTAGAACCATCCTGGAAAAGTTTGCAGAGAATTGTCTCCTGTAGGAGGGACCCCATGGCATAGCAGAAGAGACTCCGCTCCCTAAGAAAACTGAAGAAAGATTTTGAGTGAAAAACTGACCAGAACTCCCATGCCCTGTCTCCCTGTACTGTCAGTGGGAAAGGAGAGGCTGGAGGAAGATAAGTGTTCTCAAGGTTTAATTGTTATCCTCTTTTAATTCTGTTAACAAATTTTTCTTTACACCTTTTAAAGTTTCGAACCTGTTTTGCCCTTGGAATGTTTTCTCCTAATCCTTATCTCAACCCATGAGCCCTTGAGTCTTTCTTTCTGCCTCCTCTGCTAAGCTGTAGCAGAGGAATATGAGTGAATAATTTTTCTCGAGGGTGCCTGGTGCTTAACCAGTGTCAAACCACGACTTTGGCTACTGGGAAGAACTTGGAAAAAAACTGTGCTATTTTCTTCAACCTACAGAAAGCCTTCAGGCCTTCAACCAATAAAGAATTTCCAGAAGTTGTAAGTTACCAATTCAGTAAATCTTTTATCCTGAAAATACACATACTATCAGACTCTGGTGCAACATCCATTTTCTGGCTCCAAACCACTTTGGCTGCTGTAATTATTTTGTTGGATTTTTTGTCTTTTCCATTGAACTGCTCTTTGTAGTTTGCAGCTCCTCAAGATTAATCATTCACTAAGAGAGAAGAGGCATTTTTTCTTACATAAAACACATAATGAGAAATTAATGGACAACTTCTTGATGTTAACAGAACATGAAAAATTACTATATCCACCATGCAATCCATCAATTTTGAAAGGATTTTGAATTTCCTCTGGCATGTGTTTGAGATCCACATACTAAAACTGTTAAAATAAACTAGAATAACTCAAACCTTAGTTGCTCTAAACTGCAACTTTATAGATCACTCTGTTTCTATTGTCCAATCTTTCCTTAAAATTCTCCAATTCTGAATTAGTTATGTGAAGGTGTTTTTTATGAATCTTATGATCCATAACTTAAGACAAAAGGTTGCTGGGAGTGAGATTTCGCCAACATAAAATCTTCAAGTCACCTGAAAGAACATTACCAGTTGGTGTGAAAGCTGTCTTTTTTACTTCTTCCATGCTGAATGAGGAATATTTCAATGTCAACTCTAAAAATCTCTGTTACTACAGAAATCAACAGTGGTTGGAAAAATACATAAATAACTAGTGTCTTTTAGGAAGCGATTTATAAGAAACAGGAGTTTTTCTTTCATTTAAGAAACAATTGTACTGTAGAGCTAGTAAGTGTCAACTTGTGCATTTTTGAAGTCTAAAAATGTCCAAGTAAACAAACCTTTTTCCTATTAAATATTAATATAACAGTGCATTGTTTTTAACAATAAAGTCAACTTACAGCACTTAAAATTTCAAATAACCAAATGCATTTACTAGCTATCTACCCAAGAAGCAGGAGACTTCTTCCTTCTCAACTGCTTACTTTGAAGACTCCTCCCTTTCTACAAACTATTTCAGAGCAAAATTTGCCTTCAGCTTTCTAGACTACAAGTCTATCCTCCCCTGACAGCCACTCTTAAAGCTATCATTTACAAGCCCTGTACATGTTCATGCCAACTGAAGCAACACTTGAATGTACTGGGCCAATACAGTCCTGAGTGCAGGCTTTAAGTTGTCTGCATGAACCGATCCTGGCAGGAAAAGCACAATGTGGACAAAACAAAGATTCCTGGTAAATGCGTGCAGAACAAATCTTGCAGTGAAACCCTCTCAAGAACATTCACAAAAGCCCCACAAAAAAACCATGGGCTTCTGAGCTCAGTGGTCCAGCACACCTGATCACTTCACTTTTCTCTTAGAAACGGAGACACACATACTCAGCATTAAAAAACAATTTAAAAAATTAAAAAAAAAAAAAGGAGAGAGAAAAAAAAGAGCAAATACAAGACCAAATTTAAGACTGATGGCAAGTCAGTAATGCAGAGTGCCTCAATATTACTGTCATGGTGACTGAGCAGTGCTGCCCATTTCCTTTTCCTGGTCTATGAAGACTCTTAAGTATTAAGCTAAAAATCCCTCTGATTCTACTTCATCAATTTGGCACAAAGCACATGTAAATTGGTCAATGAAGCCTTTCCTGTTATTAGCCTTTCTTGAAGACTGATCTCCGCAAGGTTGAGAAAAGAAAGAGAAATGCTTTAAAAACAAACAAAAATATTGTGCGCTCCCAGAATAGCACACAATAGTAGCATAATGATATAATTTCTACAGTTATCAAATACACTTATCAAGGAAAAAATCAAAACAGCCATATTGTGAGAAAACATTTGTCACGACCTATACATGGCTTGTGTTCAAGTCCTATGACTGGAATTCATAAGTCATTATTTTATATAGTATCAACTAAGACTGAGAGATTAGCACAAATCTTTATGAAGTTACAAAATTTCTGAAGCATTTTCTTGATGTCATAACATATAAGATACAAACACTGTATCAATTAACAGCAAGGCTGAACACTAAAAAAAGATCTGACTCAAGTGTAACCAGTCCCTTCCAGCTACAATTTGAAATTATTACAGAACCAAATACAAATGGCATGATATTTAGAGCTTGCAGGACACACAATGAGGATACTGTACTGTCAGACACACAAAATGCCTTCCCATACTCCTGAGCGGCACAAGATTTTCAAATTCTGTGCTTTAACTGTTGCAGTAAAAACTTCAAACACCACACACTGCTAAGCAAATTCATGTTTAGTCTGGAATGCTTAAGACTCAAATTGTTTAACACCTTGACAAACGCGAATACTCACAATTTGTTAGCTGCGTTAATGTTCAAGCTTACTCTGAAAATACTTAACAGTTTCAGTAATGCAATCGCAAAAACAGACAATTTAAAATAGTTGTCTCTAATATTGAATTATCTAAACATGGCATTACCTTCATGGCATGGATTTCTTCTATTAATCTCTCAACTCGTTTTTGGTTCTTTAATTTCAAGTCTTCTGAACCCCTGCAAGTGAAGTCTATTGTTATTAAAGAAATCTCAGTTTAGTTATTTTATTTCCTCTCTGGCAATACTAAGTAGCAAAATAAAAAAAAAAATCAGGAGATGGTGCATAAACACAATCCCTTATTGGCAAATTAACATTTTAGCAAAGAGCTGAATATAGCCTAAAGCTTTTGCTGAACTAAACAGCAGAGGAAACACTGAGGATTTAGCAGAACAATGTGAAAACAAATGTTACTGTATCAGAAAATACAAAACCACAATTCATATCAAGAACAGGTGACACCAGTGTCTCAAACAGAGAATTCTATTTTAAGACCTGTAGTACCTAAATATGGAAGTTCATTGGATTTGCTTCTTATTTTGGACAACTTGCTAAAATTGTGAGAGTATCCTCAATTTACACTATGAACACAGTGTGAGATGTATCTCACACCATCTCTAAGACACGTGCTAAATTATTTCAGGCCAGTAATCTTTAAAAACATAATCTACAATATATTGTTTAAGCTGTTCATATAAGAATTAATTAATAGTAATTACTAAAAATCAAGTATGACCTGTATATCTATGCAAATGAAGTATTTTTTGATACATACTCCTGAAGATAACTACTGTGAGAAAACTCGGTGCAACTTAAATTCAACAGCAGAATAATCTAAAAGATGAAATCTGACACTTTCAAATGTGCTGTAAAAGGTTCTGTAACTGATTCAGATTACCTTCCAATACACTAAATCCAATTAAAAAAGTCATCCCAATTCTGCTTTATGAAACTCCTTTTAGTTAGTATTTTTAGTCTAAGATTATGTTAAAATAAGACAAATATGTGTTTTAGTGCCTTAAGTTTTAAATTTAGTACATTTTTCTCCCATTCTTCTGTTTTTGTGAAAACAATTAAAATAGTGCCTTATTTATAAACCACAAAAAAACCCACTATTATTTAAAACTGACTTTTTCGATTTTAATTTCCCGATGTGTCTGGTTAGTCTGCGAATAATGAGGACTCTGGCCTTCTTCACATCTTTTCTCATCTTCACAACCTGTGAGAAATATGGAAGACATTATAAACTGTTTTCCTTGATTATGTTCCACATACAATACATTCATTACATTGACTTAAATTTTAGAAATTAGTTCAACAAAGAGAAATATTTTGAAAATAGAGTGCATTTCCCTGCTAACCAAATTTCATTTCAAATGAATTCAGATTTCCATTAAAATCAAACTGCTTCCATAAACATCAGAGGAAGAATAACCAACAGTCTAAAAATGTGTCTGAGGTCTAAATAGAAGACAAGACATTCCTAACTAGCCATACTTTAATATTATTCTTAGAGCTAGACTGAGCTAGGGATTTGAAATGTCTCACCTTTTGCCTTTACTTAGCTTATTTTGTCCCAGAGAAACACCAGCAGTACATTAAGTCCATTGGTGCATAATACATAAAAGAATTTTAATTATTAAACATCTTCAAGTGTAAAGGAAAGACTCTCAAAAATTAACATTATTTATTATGGAACAGAATTGAGATATTAAATTCTTTTTATATATTTGAATTCATTTTTGTTGAAAACAAAAATCCAAATGATTTCTAACTTGCTACAGTCTGTCTCAACCTGCCATCCTACCTGGTACTCTGTTCCCAAATTTAAAGCAGGCAGTTTTAAAGAAAATTTGGCAATGATATCTTGGTCTTAATTCTCACACCAATAACAAAGAAAGAATTATTATTATTATTATTATAATTATTATCAGACAGATTGGTATGATTTCTTTGTTCATCCTATCTTTTGCAATTAAATTCCATAATGGAAAACCTTAAGCCCAGGTGCTGTCTAATGATGAATGTTTCAGATACAGGGAGTCAATAGCGATCCTTTATTTTTACAACTCAACTTCCCCCTTATTTATACATACAGATCTTACTATGTCTATTAAAATTTTGTATTTAACAGTTAAACTTAGAATAACATGAAATACTAAAAAAAAAAAAAAAAAAAATTAAAAAAAAAAATCAGTCTTCCTGACAAAAGCTAAATTTACCTTAAATTTATCCATAGGGATAAGTTTCAAAATTAAGTTGGCACCTCTTTTTCAATAAAGTTCTTTACATTGGATTTCTATTTTAATTTCTCAGTGATAACATCAAAGTGACAGATTGATGACAACTCCACCACCTAGTCAGGTCAAGAATATTAGTAATATAAACCTGTATCAGGCTTGAAAAAAAAAAAAAAAAGAAGAAGAAAAATCTGCAAAGCTCACAGGGCAGTACTTCACACCTGTGATGGGGAGTCTGGCTAGTACATATACACCCTGCCATAGACCATAAAGATTACACTTTTACATAAAGTGTATGAAAAGACAAAAGGAAAGCAGAACACATACTTTGCCTAACTGATTAGGTTTGTAGCTTAGATTACTGATTCAATCAAGTTGTTAAGTCCTGAAGGTATTTACTGGTAGCTTAACTGAAAGCTGAATCAGAGCAAAAAAATTTCTAGAGAGGGGTATGTGTTGATTGTCAGCCTTGCCTCTGCCAGGCAAGCCAAGGAACATGGGAAGCAGTGCTTCTCTGAGAAGCAACGGAGGGGAATTGTTTGGGGGGCAGCGTTAGTCACTTGCACCATGAGAAATAAAAAGGTAAAGGAGGTTTTGGGATAAAAGTAACTGACCTAAATGTGGTATCCTGTTCCAAAAATTGTTACAGCAAAGGTCAGTACTTACCTTAGTTACCCTAGTAAAAGTAACTGTGCACACAGATCTACCTACAAAAGCATTTCTACTTCAGTTAACAGCAGAAACCCCATGCCAAAAAGCACCAAGTGCCAAGTTTCTGCTACACAACAGCACTGCTCGAGACTTCAACACGTTAAGGAAGAAACCCCTAACATCACCATTTGCCATCAAGGCATGCAAATATTTCTTTTTTATAAGACATTGAATAAGATTATCATAGGTCCCTATAGTATATCTTCTTCTAAAAAGAAGAAAGAAAAAAAAGACAGCTTCTGTCTGAACAGCTCTTCAATACTATACATACTGGTACACTGAATGGAATGTTTGGAATGTCAGAGGAAAACTGGGTATGCTTTCTTAGAACTCTGGGGAGGGGAGGTTGTTTTGAGTTTGCGATTTTTTATTCTCTATTTTTTTTTAACAACCACTAAAAACTAAAAAATCCAAAAAACCTAAAAATCCACAAGCTAGAAACATACTGGAATTTAAATAACTCATACTTTACATATTACTTACTGTGTATGCAAAGATGAAGTACATTTAACTTTCTCTCAAAAATGTTTTGTCAGGTATTTTTTAATAGAAATATTAATGCACACACAGCATGCTTCCAGGACCTACAAGAGCCAAACTTCAGCCTCCTCTGCTGCCAGCCAGTGGAGGCTGTATAGACATGACAGCAGGAATGAGGGAAGGTATTCGCTCCTTGGCAGACTAGGAGTATCAATTTATGTAATCCAGTCACTTCTTTCACACGGGACAGTATGCATCAACTCTGTTCTTGGAAGTACTCATAACGTTCTCAAGAAAGCAGTCAGCTCTTTGGGAAAGAAATCAAAAAAGTTTAGCTTCAGATTTACAGTGTGCCTGAAACAATGGGGCTTAGACCACCAGGGTAGGCCCTGGTCTCTTGTATTACAAAGTGAGAGAGGCAACTTTGCCATCAGTAGAAAAAAAACCCAAACCAAACAAAAAAACCCCATCAAGAATAGTAATGACTTTCAAAAAATAACAAATATTTATTAATATTATAAGGTATTTTTTATAAATAGTTCAAGAAAAGATAGCAAGAAAAGGAGAACTCTTTGCACTGAAACATAAAAAGGCCGCAGTGTAAGTCAGGATCAGACTTTATGCTTTAAGACTAGGCAATAAGGATTTTTAATTTACTCAGCAGTGACATTAAGCACTAAAGAATAATTATAAACAAGCAAAACACAAACCAAACAATGTCTTCTATCAACAGGATCTAGGATTCCTGGAAATTAAGGAAGTCTGCAATTGTATGTGGAAATAACCACTTCAAGGATTTCTTTGAACAAAGAACAAGAGATGTTTTCCTTTGCTGAAGACAGTTCATTTTGTTGGGAAATACTATTTATGAGACAATTAAACTATACATCCTCATTAATGCTACCAAATGTTTGTGTTCACACATTATTAATAATAATAGATAATATCAAAGTAAGAGTAGATATAGACTACATATTATTAAATACAAAAGAAATCATAAAAGAAATGAACTCACTTTTTAAAACAAGCCTAGGTAGTAACATATAGAATGCACATAAGCATATTTCAGAAGCTATGGTTATGAACAAAAATCATCCATTTAGCCCTATGTCCTTTCATAAAACAATGTATTTATACTACTATTGAAGTAAACAAAGATAAAGTTCAAAAAATTCCATGACTGATGGTACTCCACAAAGAGAGGCATCCATCAAGCCAACAGCTTTCCACCTGCAGTAAGCACTGCCACAAAGCATTGACATGTACCAACCAGCAGCATGCAAACCATTTCAAGCCATAGGCAGATGGTAGCTGCTGCTGCCCTTTCCAGAAAGGGCAAACAAAGAGCACAGCAAGGGATCAGCAGATGACAAGCCAGACAAGAACCAGAAACTCTCCTGCAATTCACCTTTTCCAAGGAGTGCACATTACTGAGGGAGATTGTAACAGGAATTGCTGCTCAGTACTCATCTGGCAACAAAAACAGCCCCAACTTTAATGGGTACCACTCACACAGTACAAAGGCACCAGAGGTTACATATCAAACCAAGAGGGTGATTTCTAGCAAATAATAAAGAACAAGTGTGTGTTTAAAGACATCACAAGAACCGTATTTAACCCAGAATGCACAGCTGAGAAAGGGAGAAACTAATAGCTTCAACTACTTTGCTTTCTATTTCAGGTTTTATACCTGGCTCCAAAGGGTTAATAGCCATTCCCAGAGATTTGTCTTTTTGTGTGGAAGTTCAATCAGACCTTCCGCAGCATGTCCAAGCCCTTCTCGTGCCCAGAAAGAAACTGACACAGGATTACTTAATTGTATCTTTGATCTCTTAGTCTTCTCTAGGGTTTTTCCATGAAGTAGTTCCATTTTGACACTGGTATTTCACTTGTAGTTACAAATTAATTTTGACTAACAGAAGTCTTGGAAGGGTTGAATCAGTTCCTAAATCAGCGTTAGAATGTGTTAGGAAAGGGCTTCTGATCACAGACATTATCCCTTTTAAATTAATGGGATGCTGTTATTGTACATAATACAAGACAAAACACATGTACAGTAGAAGAGGAAGTTATTTTAAGAGCCTCCCACATAAAGAAGCTGTTCCAAAAAAACTTGTTTGAAAATTTTCAAGTCTCTTTAAGAGAAATATAAGGCATTTTTAGACAAAACATCAAGAAGGCTAGTTTAGGTCTGAATTACTACAAAACAGTCCTCATATTAGGGATGGTAAGAAAAACACCAAGGAATATGGATAAAATTACAGTGTAGGTACAATTATACATTCAAATTCACATGACTAGTCAAATATATTTGCCTTCACATTTTTAAGACAACAGCAGCAAAGTTCTCAAACAAGCATTACATTAGAATAAAATGTTATACTTGGCCACTTCTGAAACTTGTTTTGAGGTCTGTACAAGCAACATGATTCCAAACTAAGCTAGTGTTCAGCCAATTAGAAAAACAAAAAAGGAAAGTGTGACTAAAGATTTGTAGATGTATCAAGAAAGGTACGTGTCTACTCTGAACTATGGTATCAACTGTACTTGACAAAAAAAAATATCCCAAAACCAAACCATTATTTAAAAGAAAAAAATCCAATGGATTGAGAAAAGCATTAATGTGTTTCTACCTGTGACTTGTTTGGATGTATTTCATTCCACCAACACTGAAATACTAGAACAACTGTGAAGGAAAAGCTTTTTTTTAATATTACCACACACAAAAGCTAGTATCATATATGAAAATATCTGAAGGACCTTGAATATCTTAAATTCTTTTTAACTA